ATAAATAAAGGCCCAGATAAAAAAAGCAAGGCCCTGCCTCCATCCAAAAAAAAAAAAAAATAAATAATAAATAAAATAAAAAAATAAAAATAAATAAAGGCCCAGATAAAAAAAGCAAGGCCCTGCCTCCATCCCCTCAGGCAGGATTGCACTGCCAGCTTTATTTCCCCTGGGATTCCAGGAAATCCAGGTGGCAGCAGGAACTCAAAAGGGAATTGTGCCAGCAAAAAGGGAATTTCTGGGTCTGTTCACTGAAAAAAGGGAATTTCTGGGTTTGGTCCCAGCAAAAAAAGGGAATTTCTGGGTTTGTTCCCCGCAGAAAGGGAATTTCTGGGTTTGTTCCCCACAGAAAGGGAATTTCTGGGTCTGTTCACTGAAAAAAGGGAATTTCTGGGTCTGTTCCCCACAAAAAGGGAATTTCTGGGTCTGTTCACTGAAAAAAGGGAATTTCTGGGTTTGTTCCCCACAAAAAGGGAATTTCTGGGTCTGTTCCCCACAAAAAGGGAATTTCTGGGTTTGTTCCCCGCAAAAAAAGGGAATTTCTGGGTCTGTTCCCCGCAAAAAAAGGAATTTCTGGGTTTGTTCACTGCAAAAAGGGAATTTCTGGGTCTGTTCCCTGCAAAAAAAGGGAATTTCTGGGTTTGTTCCCAGCAAAAAGTGAATTTCTGGGTTGTCTCCCCACACCTGCTCTGGGCTCCCACAGGAGGAGATCCCACAGGAGATCCCACACGGGTGGAGATCCCAGAAGGGATCCCAAAGGAGGGTCCCACTCACAGGAGGAGATCCCCCAAATGAAGGTCCCACACACAGGAGGATCCCCACATTGGAGATCCTGGAGGAAATCCCCACACAGGAGGAGATCCCAAAGGAGGAGATCCCACAAGAGATCCCAAAGAAGGGTCCCCCCCCAGGAGGAGATCCCACAGGAAGGGATCCCCACACTGCAGATCCCCTCAAACAGGAGGAGACCCCACAGGAGGAGACCCCACAGGAGGAGATCCCACAGGAGGAGACCCCAAAGGAGAAGATCCCACAGGAGGAGACCCCACAGGAGGAGACCCCACAGGAGGAGACCCCAAAGGAGAAGATCCCACAGGAGGAGACCCCACAGGAGAAGATCCCACAGGAGAAGACCCCACAGGAGGAGACCCCAAAGAGGAGGGAGACCCCCCAGCCGACTCACGCGTTGCAGTAGGGTTTCTTCTCGTAGCCCTTGTAGTTCTTCATGTTCAGCGTCATCTTGCAGGTCTCGCAGTGGAAACACGATTTGTGCCAGAACTGCAACCAAAAAATAAAATTAAATAATTAAAAAAAACCAAAAAAAACAAATATCAGCGGCAGGGACACCAAAAAACCCCGCTGGAACCCCAAACTCCCCGCGGAGAGACCCCAAAAAACGGGATGTTCCTGCGCAGCAAAAATGGGATTTCCGAGCTCCTTTTTGGATATCAAGGAATGCCACAAAAATGGGATTTCTAGATATTAAACGCCACAAAAGTGGGATTTCCAAGCTCTTTTTTGGATATCAAGAAATGCTACAAAAAATGGGATTTCCAAATTCCTTTTTAGTTATTAAGAAATGCCACAAAAATGGGATTTCTAGATACTAAGAAATGCCACCACAAAATGTCATTTCCAAGCTCTTTTTAGATATCAAGAAATGCTACAAAAATGGGATTTCGGGACTATTTTTTAGATATCAAGAAATGCCACAAAAATGGCATTTCCAAGCTCCTTTTTAGTTATCAAGAAATGCTACAAAAAGTGGGATTTCCAAACTCCTTTTTAGTTATTAAGAAATGCCACAAAAATGGGATTTCTAGATACCAAGAAATGCTACAAAAATGGCATTTCCAAGCTCCCAGAGCATTCCCGGCACATTCCCAGAACATTCCTGCCCACAATTTGGGACCAAACCCCACAGCCTGGAGGGGGGAAAATCCCACAACCTGATGGGGAGCAAACCCCACAACTTGGGCTCAAACCCCAAAATTTGGGGGAAAATTCCACAGCTTGGGGGAAACCCCACAGCCTGGAGAGGGGAGCAAACCCCACAATTTGGGGGCAAACCCCACAACTTGGAAGGGGACAAACCCCATAACCTGGAGCAAACCCCACAACCTGATGGGGAGCAAACCCCACAAGTTGGGGCAAACTTCACAGCCTGGAGGGGGACAAACCCCACAATTTGGGGGGAAAACGCCACAATTTGGGACCAAAGCCCACACCCTGGAGGGGCACAAACCCCGTAACCTGGAGGGGAGCCCACAACCTGAAGGGGAGAAAACCCCAGAATTTGGGCCCAAACCCCACAATTTGGGCCCAAACCCCACAATTTAGGCCCAAACCCCACAACTTGGGCCCAAACCCCACAACTTGGGCACAAACCCCACAACGTGGGGGGAAAATGCCACAATTTGGGCCCAAACCCCACAACTTGGGGGGAAAACCCCACAATTTGGGCCCAAACCCCAGAATTTGGGACCGAACCCCACAACGTGGGCCCAAACCCCACAACGTGGGCCCAAACCCCACAATTTCGGCCCAAACCCCACAATTTGGGACCGAACCCCACAATTTGGGCCCAAACCCCACAACTTGGGCCCAAACCCCACAACTTGGGCCCAAACCCCACAATTTGGGCCCAAACCCCACAACTTGGGCCCAAACCCCACAACTTCAGCCCAAACCCCACAACTTCAGCCCAAACCCCACAACTTCAGCCCAAACCCCACAATTTGGGCCCAAACCCCACAACTTGGGCCCAAACCCCACAATTTGGGCCCAAACCCCACAACTTGGGGGGAAAACCCCACAACTTCAGCCCAAACCCCACAACTTGGGCCCAAAGCCCACAACGTGGGCCCAAACCCCACAACTTGGGCCCGAAGCCCGGAGCAGGAGCCGCGGGATTTGGGGAGAAGCTCGGGGCCCAGCCTGGGGACGCCGGAGCAGCGGCGGCCCCGTCCCCGTGGGGACACGGACGTCCCCAGGGCCACTCGGGGGGACGCTGGGGCCAGCGGGGAGTTTTCCAGAAATCCCTGAGGGAAGAGGAGCTTCCCTGGGTTTGGGGTCAAAGCAGCCGGCCCAAAGCCGGGGCTGGGCCCGGCCCCGCGGCCGCCTTCGGACTCTGCCCGGGGTGGGGACGGGGAACTCCAAGGAAAAGCAGGAACAGGAATTCCAAGGGTCAGGAAAAGCAGGAACAGAGCAATTCCAAGGGCCTGGAAAAGCAGGAACAGGAATTCCAAGGGCCAATAAAAGCAGGAACAGGAATTCCAAGGGTCAGGAAAAGCAGGAACAGAGGAATTCCAAGGGCCTGGAAAAGCAGGAACAGAGGAATTCCAAGGGCCGGGAAAAGCAGGAACAGGAATTCCAAGGGTCAGGAAAAGCAGGAACAGGAATTCCAAGGGCCAGGAAAAGCAGGAACAGAGCAATTCCAAGGGCCTNAAAAATGGGATTTCTAGATACCAAGAAATGCTACAAAAAAAAAAAAAAAAAAGGGATTTCTAGATACTAAGAAATGCCACAAAAATGGTATTTTCAAGCTCTTTTTTGATATTAAGAAATGCTAAAAAAAAAAAAAGGGATTTCCAAGCTCTTTTTTAGTTATTAAGAAATGCCACAAAAATAGGATTTCTAGATACCAAGAAATGCTACAAAAATGGCATTTCCAAGCTCCCAGAGCATTCCCGGCACATTCCCAGAGCATTCCTGCCCACAATTTGGGACCAAACCCCACAGCCTGGAGGGGGGAAAATCCCACAACCTGATGGGGAGCAAACCACACAATTTGGGCTCAAACCCCAAAATTTGGGGGAAAATTCCACAGCTTGGGGGAAACCCCACAGCCTGGAGGGGGGACTAAACCCCACAACTTGGGGGCAAACCCCACATCCTGGAGCAAACCCCACAACCTGGGACCAAACCCCAAAACTTGGGACCAAATCCTACACCCTGGAGGGGGGAAAATCCCACAACCTGATGGGGAGCAAACCCCACAATTTGGGGGCAAACCCCACAACCTGGAAGGGGACAAACCCCATAACCTGGAGCAAATCCCACAACCTGGAGGGGAGCAAACTTCACAGCCTGGAGGGGGACAAACCCCACAATTTGGGGGGAAAACGCCACAATTTGGGACCAAAGCCCACACCCTGGAGGGGCACAAACCCCGTAACCTGGAGGGGAGCCCACAACCTGAAGGGGAGAAAACCCCAGAATTTGGGCCCAAACCCCACAATTTGGGCCCAAACCCCACAATTTAGGCCCAAACCCCACAACTTGGGCCCAAACCCCACAACTTGGGCACAAACCCCACAACGTGGGGGGAAAATGCCACAATTTGGGCCCAAACCCCACAACTTGGGGGGAAAACCCCACAATTTGGGCCCAAACCCCAGAATTTGGGACCGAACCCCACAACGTGGGCCCAAACCCCACAACGTGGGCCCAAACCCCACAATTTCGGCCCAAACCCCACAATTTGGGACCGAACCCCACAATTTGGGCCCAAACCCCACAACTTGGGCCCAAACCCCACAACTTGGGCCCAAACCCCACAATTTGGGCCCAAACCCCACAACTTGGGCCCAAACCCCACAACTTCAGCCCAAACCCCACAACTTCAGCCCAAACCCCACAACTTCAGCCCAAACCCCACAATTTGGGCCCAAACCCCACAACTTGGGCCCAAACCCCACAATTTGGGCCCAAACCCCACAACTTGGGGGGAAAACCCCACAACTTCAGCCCAAACCCCACAACTTGGGCCCAAAGCCCACAACGTGGGCCCAAACCCCACAACTTGGGCCCGAAGCCCGGAGCAGGAGCCGCGGGATTTGGGGAGAAGCTCGGGGCCCAGCCTGGGGACGCCGGAGCAGCGGCGGCCCCGTCCCCGTGGGGACACGGACGTCCCCAGGGCCACTCGGGGGGACGCTGGGGCCAGCGGGGAGTTTTCCAGAAATCCCTGAGGGAAGAGGAGCTTCCCTGGGTTTGGGGTCAAAGCAGCCGGCCCAAAGCCGGGGCTGGGCCCGGCCCCGCGGCCGCCTTCGGACTCTGCCCGGGGTGGGGACGGGGAACTCCAAGGAAAAGCAGGAACAGGAATTCCAAGGGTCAGGAAAAGCAGGAACAGAGCAATTCCAAGGGCCTGGAAAAGCAGGAACAGGAATTCCAAGGGCCAATAAAAGCAGGAACAGGAATTCCAAGGGTCAGGAAAAGCAGGAACAGAGGAATTCCAAGGGCCTGGAAAAGCAGGAACAGAGGAATTCCAAGGGCCGGGAAAAGCAGGAACAGGAATTCCAAGGGTCAGGAAAAGCAGGAACAGGAATTCCAAGGGCCAGGAAAAGCAGGAACAGAGCAATTCCAAGGGCCTGGAGAAGCAGGAACAGGAATTCCAAGGGTCAGGAAAAGCAGGAACAGAGCAATTCCAAGGGCCTGGAGAAGCAGGAACAGAGCAATTCCAAGGGCCAATAAAAGCAGGAACAGGAATTCCAAGGGTCAGGAAAAGCAGGAACAGGAATTCCAAGGGCCTGGAAAAGCAGGAAGAGAGGCAGTCCAAGGGCCTGGAGAAGCAGGGATAGAGGAATTCCAAGGAAAAGCAGGAACAGAGGAATTCCAAGGGCCTGGAAAAGCAGGAATAGAGGAAAAGCAGAGATAGAGGAATTCCAAGGGCCTGGAAATGCAGGGACAGAACAATTCCAAGCAGGGACAGAGCCAATTCCAAGGGCCAGGAAAAGCAGGAATAGAGGAAAAGCAGGAACAGAGGAATTCCAAGGGCCAGGAAATGCAGGGACAGAGAGAGGAACTCCAAGAGTCTGGAAAAGCAGAGACAGAGAAAAAGCAGGGACAGAGGAATTCCAAGGGCCAAGAAAAGCAGAGACAGAGGAATTCCAAGGGTCAGGAAAAGCAGGAGCAAAGGAATTCCAGGGGCCTGCCCGGGGTTTTACGGGAACCGGGGCAGCGTTCCAGGAAAAGGGAAAAGGGCACCGGAGGCGCTCGGGGCGGGGAGAGCCCGACCGGAGAGGAAGAGGAAGAGGAGCCCGGGGAGGACAAAATGGTGACGGCGGGTCCTGCCTGCTCCCCACAGCTGGAACACAGCTGGAACACGGCTGGAACACGGCTGGAACACGGCAATTCCCTCTCCCCACAGCTGGAACACGGCAATTCCCGCTCTGGAACACGGCAATTCCCACTCCCCACAGCTGGAACACGGCTGGGACACGGCTGGGACACGGCAATTCCTGCTCCCCACAGCTGGAACACAGCTGGAACACAGCTGGAACACAGCAATTCCCGCTCCCCACAGCTGGAACACGGCTGGAACACGGCCTTCCAAAATATCCCCAACCCCAGCACCCCTTTCCTGTTCCTGTGAGCCCCAAGCCCAACACTCCCAAAAATCCACAAATCCCAAACCCTTCCCAACATCCACAAATCCCAAACCCTTCCCAACATCCACGATCCCAGCCGTCCCTTTCCCTTCCAGCTGTTCCCAAACCCCAAACCCTTCCAAAAATCCATAACCCCCAAACCCTTCAAAATATCCACAGCCCCCAAGCCCCTTTTCCTTCCAAATATCCATAAATCCCAAACCCTTTTCCCTTTCGAATATCCCCAATCCCAGCACTCCTTTCCCCTTCCAGTTATCCCAAACTTTCCTTTCCAAATAACCACAAACTCCAAAGCCCTTTTCCCTTCCAAACTTTCTCAATCCAAACCCTTCCAAATATCCACAAATCCCAGACCCTTTTCCCTTCCAAATATCCACAAATCCCAAACCCCTTTCCCTACCAAATTTTCACAACCCCAGCATTCCTCTTCCCTTCCAGCTATTCCCAAACCTTTCCCTTCCAAATATCCACAATTTCCAAACCCCTTTCCCTTCAAAATTGTCACAACCCCCAAGCCCCTTTTCCCTTCCAAATATCCACAAATCCCAAACCCTTTTCCCTTTCGAATATCCCAAATCCCAGCACTCCTTTTTCCTTCCAGTTATTCCCAAACCCCTTTCCCTTCCAAATATCCCCAAACTCCAAACCCTTTTTCCTTCTAAATATTCACAAACTCCAAACCCCTTTTCCCTTCCAAATACCCCCAAATCCAAAACCTCTTTCCCTTCTAAATATCCACAAACTCCAAACCCTTTTCCCTTCCAAAATATCCAAACTCCAAACCCTTTTCCCTTCCAAATATCCCCAAACTCCAAACCCTTTTNAACCCCCAAACCCTTCAAAATATCCACAGCCCCCAAGCCCCTTTTCCTTCCAAATATCCATAAATCCCAAACCCTTTTCCCTTTCGAATATCCCCAATCCCAGCACTCCTTTCCCCTTCCAGTTATCCCAAACTTTCCTTTCCAAATAACCACAAACTCCAAAGCCCTTTTCCCTTCCAAACTTTCTCAATCCAAACCCTTCCAAATATCCACAAATCCCAGACCCTTTTCCCTTCCAAATATCCACAAATCCCAAACCCCTTTCCCTACCAAATTTTCACAACCCCAGCATTCCTCTTCCCTTCCAGCTATTCCCAAACCTTTCCCTTCCAAATATCCACAATTTCCAAACCCCTTTCCCTTCAAAATTGTCACAACCCCCAAGCCCCTTTTCCCTTCCAAATATCCACAAATCCCAAACCCTTTTCCCTTTCGAATATCCCAAATCCCAGCACTCCTTTTTCCTTCCAGTTATTCCCAAACCCCTTTCCCTTCCAAATATCCCCAAACTCCAAACCCTTTTTCCTTCTAAATATTCACAAACTCCAAACCCCTTTTCCCTTCCAAATACCCCCAAATCCAAAACCTCTTTCCCTTCTAAATATCCACAAACTCCAAACCCTTTTCCCTTCCAAAATATCCAAACTCCAAACCCTTTTCCCTTCCAAATATCCCCAAACTCCAAACCCTTTTCCATTCCAAAATATCCCCAAACTCCAAACCCTTTTCCGTTCCAAAATATCCCCAAACTCCAAACCCTTTTCCGTTCCAAAATATCCCCAAACTCCAAACCCTTTTTCCTTCCAAATATCCCCAAACTCCAAACCCTTTTTCCTTCCAAATATCCCCAAACTCCAAACCCTTTTCCCTTCTAAATATCCACAAACTCCAAACCCTTTTCCCTTCCAAATATCCCCAAACTCCAAACCCTTTTCCCTTCTAAATACCCACAAACTCCAACCCCCCGACCCCTTTTCCCTTCCCGTTATCCCCAATCCCAAACCCCAGCAGCTCCTGGGGGCTCCCAGGGCAGCCCCAAATTCCAGGATTTTGGGGAATTTTCAGGAAGAAGCATCACCCCTTTAAAAATGCGAGCAACAGGGTCTGCCGGAGCTCAGGAATGCAGTTGGAGAGCGGAGCTTTTTTTTCCCAGTTACTTTTTTTAGTGTTTTTTTTTAAAAAAACTGGTTGTCCCAGAAGCCTGGGAGAAGAGGGGGAGGAGAGGAAAAGAAAATCCCATGGGAAAAAGCAGCGGGAATGGAGCCCCCACCATCACCTTCCACCAGAGCTTTTTTTAGAGGAAAAACACTCAAAAAAAAATCAAATACTCTAAAAAATTAAAAATATTCCAGCTTAAGGGAGGCACCGGAGTGTAGGGATGGGATTTTGGAACGGAGAAGTAGCAGACGAGATGGAAGATGTAGGAAAAAAAAAAAAAAAGGGAAAAAAA